TATGATATGATATGATTCGCAGAGGCAGAAATTTTTTTAAAAAAACCTCATTAGTTGTTGTGTTGGTTAAGCAGAGATTTAAGTGGTAAGCGAAGAAGCCAGCGAGGAGGAGAGAAACAATGGCGAGAAACACCATTAGAAGTATTTGAGTGTTGTATGTACCAACTAGCCACTGTTTCAAAGACATTGGACATTATGATATTATTAGATTTACACATATGATTATGCTGCAAGATTGAGAATTGTTAGTTAATTAGGATGACTAGCCTGTATAACTCGAGGAGCTAAGCTTCGGAAAGATTTCTCTACGTCGTAATAGACTGCAGAAAAAAAGAAAGAAAGACGGATTAGGAATTGAAAGGGATAACAACATGGAAACCGACATTGGGAAGATACAATTGTTGATACAACAAGGGCATGTTTGATGCGTACCAATTAAAATGTGTACAACACGGAGTTCTTTTACTCGCCCAGCCAGAATAAACCCGATGGCTACTGTTCCATACAAGCAAAGAAGGAAATGCCTACAAATCACTAAGGAAACATTTAACATAAAACAAAGAAAAGATGAGGATACAACACCGCATGGAATCTCCCAAGTAAATTCAAAGAAGAGCAATAAAACATGAAGATTAGGAAACACTAAGGACAGTATTTGAGAGTTAGGTCTAATGAAGGCTCACCAAAAGAGGAAAGCCATGAAATATTTGGTATTCCTTTCTCCAATACAGTTATTCTGAAACCGGTAGAGGAAAGCTCACATCAAGCAGTATGTTGATATGTAATGTTGAGAAGATAAAAAAGGTATAAGTACAAACCATCCAGCCACAATGATGGTCAAACCGAGCTACACAGCGGTTGCAGATGCTGCAATGCTTGGATCTAGCGGGCCTAAATGAAGAAAGAAAAGAGTAAACTTTTAACATAAATCAAAACATGAAAAAGGTGCCGCTCTTTCGTTAGTTTACCACAGGATTTCGACGCACTCACTTTGGGATTTTACATGTAGAACATTCCTTCTTCGAGTAAATGATATCGTCGTAGGGGTAAGCAGAAATGTACTGCGAAACATTTGCAGCGTTGATGGTACCTGGATCAGAAAGACTTGTCAATAAGAAAAGTATGACACCAACAATAACAGCCACAAAGCTCGTGTACCTACAAGAAAAAAAAAATCATTGATTTAAGGGGAAAAAGTGGATTATGCATATATAATCAGGACTTGAACATTGAAAAGTGAAAGAAGTGACAGGCCTTACTTGTGAACATCGCCAATATAATATCCAGGTATATAGATGAAGGAAGATTTCGCAGTCAAAAAGTATGTTGATCCGATAATGGCTATATATATGATCTACAAAATGGAGTAGAAAATTGCTTTATGGATATCTGAAACTGAAGAAGAGTTAGAGCAACTCAATCAAACTCAAAATATTCACAAAATGGAATAGTTTCTCAAAATCCATGTGTTAATCTCACAGGTAAGGTAAGCACTTAGATTCCTCTACTAATATATCCTCTTATATCTCAAATCCAACCACTCAAGATCTTCTTAACATGAAGTATCAATCACAAAAACGAATCTCCTAATCCCAGATTAGTCCAATCACCAACTCAAAGAACCAAAACCAAAAACAAGAAGGATCTAAAGCTAGGGCTAGATTCAAAACTCAACTATCATTCTACAGCTACGAATTCCTCCTCTGCTCATTAGATAGATGACATTAAAGATCAAACAAAAACGAAGAACAAACTAACTTGCAGTATCGGATTAGGACGATCGCAACAAAATTGCTCCACCGATAGAATCACGTCCGTGCCCTTCGAACCAAACACCATTCCGACAAATCTCCTGCAACCCACCACAGAGCACGATCAGAGGAAACTCTAATTGATCACCGATCAAACAACAAGCAATGGAGAGGAAGTGTACAGGAAGTAATCGTAGGCGCCGAAAGTGAGAAAGTAATGAATCCATTGAAAAGGTGTGCCTTTGAAGATTGGCCATTGACCACAGAGGAAGGAGATGACTACCGTTAACGTAACCATCCCGTGACACACCAGAAGCCACTGTATCGCCATTTTCGTCTCTCAGAAATCCTCCGATCGTCCAAAGTTTACTTCTTTTTCTTTCCTCTTCTCTTAAACCCAATCAGTTAGTTCTCTCTACACTTCTTGAAAGTTTTTTACTTTCAGAATTAATTAGGGACTAAATTGCAATTTAAAAATTTAACAAAATTCAATTCTTTTGGGGCCATTGAATCATTTCACATTCCTATGATCATGGAATCTCAATATGATAAACAAATTCAGTAGGAGACAGATTTAAATTTCATGCATCATATCTTACAATACATTTTGTACTTGCATAGATTAAGAAGAGTGAACAAACACATGAGACTTAGTTCTTAGACTTAAAACTCTCAAACCAAGACTAAGGCGTAATCGTTAAGACAAGCTTGAGGAATAGCAGCAGGGTCTAGCTCAAACCAGCCATTTGGGATTCCTTCTTCCTCATCTCCAATCAGTTTATAAGACGGAACTCTGTGAGAAAAACCTAGCATTTTATCGCATGATATCATCGTTTTGATGACCCCATGTTGCTCACCATGTTCATACACTGCTGTGAATCCTTCCACTCTCTTTAGATAAGCCACTCCAATGCCTTGATCACTGTCGAATTCAGTTATGACTTCCACAAGGTCGTATCTATACGGAGGCTTGTGTTGCTCCCTGTGACTGGTCCAAGTCTTGTTCCAATCTCTGAAAAGAGCCCACGTCTCGCCTTTTCTCGGGTTTATGGTGATGCTTTTGCCGTGTACGATGTGATGCATCGGGTGAGAAAACATCAAGTGCCCATTGGTCTCTGCATTTCCATATTTGAATCTCCCACAAGCAATGGGAATTAGCTTCTCATTCTCTGTGTTTTGTATTGATTCGAGCCATGTCACTCGCAAACTCAGCTGTTGTTTCAAGACTCTCTTGATCCGAACGTAGTATCGTGGCATATCATCTATAGGATCATATAGAGCCCATACTTGACCAACCGCGAAAGAGCTCATCGTGTTGCTAAAATCGTTAAAGTCTGGCTCCGGACAGCTAAATGGTTCAGGATCTATGCAGACAATTGCTTCACTTGTATCTTCATATTCAAAATCAGAACTTGTCTCTCCAACATGTTTATGTTCTCTAATGGGTTTATGCTTTTTCCCCGGGCGAATAAGACCGTTATCTCTACCCTTCTCTCCCAACAATGAAGACCTCAATTCACGCCTAGATCTCTTACGCGTCTCTACTTGTATTAATCGTTCTTCAAACTCTATCTGCTTCAGTTCAAGCTCTTTCTCCTTTTCTTCAAGTCTCTTTTCCTTCACTTCAATCTCTCTTGCTTGTGCTTTTTGTTTCAACTGAAAGCTCTCTTCCTTCTTCTCCAGCTCAATCGATTTCTCATTGATTGTCTCATTAAGCAACCTAAGCTCCTTCTCTCTAGCTTCAAGCTGCTTATGAGATATTGCCATTAGCTCAGCTTCCTTCTTCATTCTCTCAGTCTCTGCATTTTGCGTCTCTACTTGTATTAATCGTTCTTCAAACTCTCTCTGCTTCACTTCAAGCTCTTTCTCCTTTTCTTCAAGTTCCTTNTCCTTCACTTCAATCTTTCTTGCTTCTGCTTCTTGTTTCAACTGAAAGCTCTCTTCCTTCTTCTCCAGCTCATTCGATTTCTCATTGATCATCTCATTAAGCAACCTAAGCTCCTTCAATTTCTCATTGATCATGTCATTAAGCAACCTAAGCTCCTTCTCCCTCGCTTCAAGCTGCTTATGTGATATTTCCATTAGCTCAGCTTCTTTCTTCATTCTCTCAGTCTCTGCATTTTGCTTCACATCAAACTCCTGCATTGCCATCTCTAACTCACGAGACTTGTCATCAATCGACTTAGAAAGCAAACGAATCTCCTTTTTCCTCGCTTGAAGCTCCTGTACAAGCTCTCCATGTTTCTTTACCATCGAATCATGAACCAAACCAAGCAATTTCTCTTTTCCCTTAAGTTGAGTACACACATCTTCATTCTGCATCTCAAGAACCAATCTCATCACATCTGTAACCAGAAACTGTTTCAGATCATATTCCTCTTGTTTCTCAGTTAATCTCTTAGTGATGGAAACCTCAAGCAACTCAATCTTCTTCTCTCTTTCTTCAACCAACTTCAATCGCTCTTCCTTCTTCTCCAGCTCCAGAATCTTTTTACTTAAAGCTAACTCCTTTAAATCGATTTCCTTTTCAAATTCCTCCCAGCGACGCGATAACTCGAGCATCAACGAACCACGCTCGTGAATCTGACTGATGACTCGTTCTCCTAAAGCCCGATCTATCGCGACGCTTCGAGAACCTCGAACCCTAAAATTTATCATCCCCCCCCATACAACAACCAACGAAGGAATCAACAATCCAGTCATAAGAGATCAAAAACATTGGGGAAAAGTTTCCCTCTTCACCAAAATGAGAAAAATCGTAGAAGAAACTAACAAATGTTCAAGTACTCCGGTGAGCTCCGGCGCTGAGTTCAGCTCCGGCGCTGAGTTCAGCTCCGGCGGATCTCGTGGTGATGAAGAATTTGGTTCGTCCATGGATCGAAACTTAGTTCTCTGACAAAAACAAAAAGCAAAAACGCTTGAGGATGAGCAAAAGGAAGATTTGAGAAAGCTTTTTTTTGTTTCTTTTTTTGGGTAGACTGAT